AAAAAAAGAAGAAGAAAAGGTTCAACTATGCCAACGTAAATAAACAATGTTGTTGTTTTTATTTAATAGACATGTAAATATAAAGTTCAGATGAAACTGAGTATCATTTATAATCCATTTAAAGCTGAAGTTGTGATTAAAGACATACTCACTTGGGTTGGTTCACTACCTTTAATAAAGTTGGGTTTCACTTTCTTTTTACACATTAAGAAGTTTGGGAGCTAAGGGGAGGGTGCATAAGGTAAATATGTTATAAATATATCAAAAAATATATCATAACCATCAATACTATCATTACAGCCACCATACTATACCACAGCATACCATCACCCTCATTATCATCATATGTAACATCGCCATCATTTCCATCACTAACATCACACATTATGACAATGTTTATATAATTTAACTTGCTACCGCACGTGTGCTAAATGAGGAGTCCTATCTGAATTATTGCATTTATACGCTGTTGAGATTATGAAAATAGGAATTTTCTTCTTCTTCTTTTTTTTGGTACACTGTATTGTACAATGTAAGGTGAAGTTTGTTTCAGTGTTGGCGTAGGCCATCTATGTTTTGGACATGCTTGGGGTGCTAAGTGTAGTGATGAGTGCTGAGTGTTAGCACAATGTTAATGGCCAGTAATGTGTAAAATGTATACATATCCTTAAAGTTAAATATGTGTTAGAACTGTCTTATGCATCTACTTATGGAACGGGGGACAATCCCCCCATGAGCTTTGCAATGTGAGTTGGAAATAATGTGTACAGCTGTACAAGTTAATGAGTGCAGGAACAAAAATCGAGACTGCTTTTTTCCCTTTTGATTAAACTATAGTTCTATCCAACTATAGAATAATAGTTCATGTACACCACACTTTCATTGTATAAGAGTATTCGGGATGCTCTCATTACTAATTCCTAAATGAGGTTGACAAGGTTTAGAAAACATAAGAGGGGCAGAGGGAGGACAGAAATAACTATCATGTTTTGGCAGCAGGCTTTCAACCTGATACACAACACTAATGGCTGTTCAGCCTGCTACAGCTAAACATCTACTGTAAGATGTAAACAGATTGAAACAGCATGACTGCGGCTGCTGTGTAAGACACGAAAGGTTATTGATTTGTGATATAATTTGACAGTAAAATAAATCTGCTTATTCTACAATAATAAATAACTGCACTATTATACTCTGGTCCACAGTATACATATTTTACATCCAACGACCCTTCACGTGCCATTCCTCAACCCCTGCACACTTATGTGTTCTCTCTGAATTTTTATTGTGTTGTACTTGCTTGTGTTCGCCATTTCGATGTCTCATACGCTCTATACTAATAGAGGAACTCAGTACCTTCCATTAGGCAATCAATGATTTAGCCAGAGTAGTTTCAATACACCACAGTGGACAATCCCAGCTATTCTCTGCTCTTCTCTTCCAACAGTCTCATTTTAAAGTAAAGTAAAAACCTAGAACTCTGATAGCTGCTATTCATATTTCAAAGGTTCAATATTATGATTTGAGGCTTCACGTGTTTCTTTTAGCAAAGTGAACCAAGCTCATTTCTGGTGCAAGAATGTACAAATATTTAAACATTTTTGTCAATATTTGTTCAAATTAGATTAAACCAGACAAAGCAGCTGAATAAACTACCTTTAAGAGTTCAGGTTTTTAGCTCGGCGTAAGTTTTTTTTGTGTGTGTTTTTTATAATTATATAATTACACTTCAGATGCAGTATTGTAGCAAATTCATGCATATAATATGTGTAATTATGCTCCATATACAGCCTTGATCGGAAATCAAATGAGTTGATTCACTACAAGTGAAAGCAGGGCTAAAAAAAACAAAAAGAAAAAGTCCCCAATCTTTATCATGATAGTCTGTGAACCAATCAGCAGCGACCGTCTAAGTCATCAACCAATAAATACCCCAACTTCAGACAATGATTTGGTTTTAATTTCTCCTCGCCAGTAGCAATACTCCGAGCAAGATGGCTCCCGCAGCAATAACGGCCCCACCAATGAGAAAGGGCTTCAGGTGTTCCAGAGAGTCTGTGCCGGAGGCTGCAGCTTCGTCACCTGCTGCTGCTGTCTCTGTTTCCGCTGCTCCATCCTGCGCAGGAGGGCGATGCTCCGGCTCAGGAGCTGCAGGGGCAGGGTCAGACTTGCGTGGGGCAGCCGGCTCCTTTTTCTCCACTTTAGGTGCTGCCTTTGGAGCTGAAGCCCCAGGCTTGCCTTTGGCTTCCATCAGCTCTGAGACAGAGGTGTGGTCTGGTCACAGGATACTTTATAAGGTCAGCTCTGTGCTGCTTCACTGAGGAAAAAAAAAGACAGCAAACAGACATTGCCAGATTATCCCTCTAAATTGGGCTCAGACATCATGTCATATGCTCTGTTGAGTGTAAAGCCACTGGCATATGAAAGAGCACCTGATAATCATGGATTCACCTTACAGCAGTGAAGCAGTCGTGAGGCAATAGGGCCTTAAATGTGACCTTGGAAATATGACATTGATAGGAATGCTCCGGTGCTTATAAGGGCTTGAAATTGTTTATTTTGGTGACATCTCCTGTGACACGATCTCCCACTGAAGGAAAAAGAAGCCACAGAAGCGTCCTATGTTAAGGTTTTTCATGGGACAATCTTCTAGCTTTATAATGGAGGCAAGGGGGGGAGGAAAGCATTGCATCTGCAGAGCTGATGTAAGGCTTAATCTTTACTCCTTTGACCGTGAGAAGAGCCTATAGTTGAAATGCAACATGAAGATTTTATCTTTTTTCCCCTCCTTGTTCTCTATTCTGTAAAGCCCGCATGAGTCATTTGTGCTATAAATGTAGGACAAGATGGAGGAAAGAAATAAGGAGTACAGTCACTGCAACAGAGGAAATCAGGGAAAATGCTAATTAGAACAAACGAAGAGGAATAAATACAAGACAAGACTAAAAGAACGCATTATTCAGCTTCAATATTACAAAATGCATGTTGGACGCAGCTTAACAAAAAAGTCCCCTGTTATACAGGAAATATCTAATAGAGGAAATATAGTTTTCACCTACCTATCCAGCAGCACTATATATATTACAGGGATAACGGGTGGTACAGAAAACACGGCAAAAGTTGAATGTCCTTAACGTAGGAAGGTGGGAGACAGCGGAGAGATGGAGGACGCAGAAAGCAGACGGCAGGAAAATGAGAGGGAGAGGACGAGAAACTGGGACGTACCATCATGTTAGGGGGAGTCGACTCCTGGATCACGTCTTTTTGAGATTATTGCGCAAGCACAGACCCGCTGTCTTATTATCGGCTAAATAAATGGGATTTCCTTCATTGTTTATCGAGTTCATATTATTGTGATCATTAAACTAGTCAAATACAAGCTAATACATTAAAATAACTTGTTTTTTTGTTTAGAAGCATTTTTTTTTTGTTATCTGTCGATAATCAGACACAGCTAACTGCAAATAAAACAGTTTCTGTGGATAAAAGGAGCTGACTTTAATCTTACAGAATTTCGGGGGTGTATTGGTATGTCGTTGACAGTATGGCCATCAATTATTAACCCTTTACCCAACCTATAAGACGTAAGAGTAGAGTGACGTAGGCTAGAGACGCTATTCATAACGTAAAGGCAACATCCTCCAAATTAAAGCGGAAAAATCAAGGCTTTAGCGTCACTGGGTACATGAACAATAAATAAATTAACAAATAATTACAACAATAAAAGAAATTATATAAATATACATTTATTAAAATGTATAACATATTCTTTATTCTAAATATATTTTATATTCTAAATATCTAATTTCTTTTGGTTACATCATAGTTACATCATGGATAATAATAACAGTGTGGACAAACGTTTGCATGTGTGTGTGTGCAGATATAGATTTTGAAGTTGAAACAAAAAGAAAAAAAAATCTATTTTTTCTAAAAGCTATTTTTTTTAGATGTTAAAATCCCCCAGTCCCAGAGCTCAGCTCTTGGTTCACTTTTCCATGTGAAACTGAAGTCCTGTGGCTGCAATGGCTCTGTGTTCTCACGAGGATTTTCGCATTTATTTCTTCTTTTCAAGACCACGGCAAGATGTGCAGCAGCCCCGACGCCATTTATATGTCGATCCAAAGACCAAAGCGATATCTCAAGATAGTAACGGGCAAATTAAGACGCTACCGGTCCGTACCAGCTGACGACACACACGCGCACAACCAAAAATGATTTTTTTTTATTACAAATCCATATCTTCTTACACAATATGGATTTGATTTATTATCTGCAAGGAGCACGTCATATGAGGGGAAAAACGGGTGGGGGGAATTGGGTCATGATGTGATGCAAAATAAATTATTAACGGCGTTTATCCATGTATCCCAGTGTCGTCACCGAGTGTGAAAAAGCGTGCATGCGCAGAACAATCGTTTCCACTTCAGTAAGTTGACGCTTTTGTTGTTTCTTGCTGCGAATCGCGCGCAGAGCTGAAAAGCTTGCTCAAAATATGAACTGAGCGAACAAAACAAAACAGAAAATAAAAGAAAAAAGAAATCACTGTCAGATCTCCCCCTGGGTCTTTCTAGATGACATCACAAAGGGGAGCGGCAACCTCTAGAAAGAAAAAAAAAAGCACCGCTCTCTTTGAAAACGTTTGCCGATAATTCACAAACCACCGGTGGCGCCCTTTCTCCACAGCACCTCCACGGAGTCTGTGATCTGCCATTTACTAAAAAAAAAGGGGGGGACGAGTCAGGTGTGCGTAAACCTAACGCTGCCCTGGGTTTGCGCAGCCAAACACGGAAGGGGAATAGCCAATTCGTACGCGTTTTTCGGTGGGAAAATATCCTAGGGGATGGGCTAGATTCTCGGGAACTGCTGCTGTCCGTGTCGGGATTCGGGAGTTGTCCGGCTGTTGGCACATACACACACAAGCTACAAACAACAACGTGAAATCCGAAGGGCTCGATATGTTCGCTAATCCCAGGGGACTGTAATTCTCTTTCATGGATCGAAATAAGTCATGCAGAGCTCGGACGTGAAAACGACCACCACAGCCGACGACGTGTTGCAATTAAGCGGAGAGCCGAGCCGCCAGTTTCCAGCGCTTTCAAAACGGCCGTGTGATTAATTACAGCTTTGACTGTGCGTCTCAGGATTGCCTGACAGCCGGGAGGTAACCGAGGAAGCTCCCGGTCTTTGATGTCTCTGGGTCCATTCATCCTTCTGTTGTAATGACGTCTGCACGGTTATTTTAATTCCATCGGTGAGGCGTTTGAGTGTTCATCCAGCCCCCAACCTTCAACCGGTGTTGGGGACGACGAGCCTGAGGCGGGTCGACAGTCGCAAGGATATGGAAAAGAGAGCGGAACCGATGCAGTGGGTCTTGGCAAGGCATCGTCAAAACACAGGTGAGCAGTAGCAGCAAACGGATGAGACTTGACTGTAAAGCCGCCTTTAGTTATATGCACACGCAGGGCAGCAAAGCCCGCCACGACACGGCCAGCGTGACCCGGCTTTTAAATCCACGTCTTAGCGCTGTTTGAGGCACATTTCTTAGGCCGTATCGTCATTTGCTGGGGCGGTAGGATGTCACCTCAAGCAGCTGTCCTGATTGCATGAGACTGGGTACTACTGCCACTGATGGCGATCGACTTGTTGGAATCACACGTTAAGGTGCTGGAGCAAAATACAAACATCAGCTAACAGCGGTGTGAGTGCTTGGCAGTTTTTTTTTTTCACAATTTACAAGAATAAGTAGTGCAGAAGACCTCTTTACTCTGTGGTGTTTGTCTCCTCATTTAGTAGGTAACTCATCAATCCCCTGTTCTTTAACATTACTACAGAGGAGCCTTTCCAACAAGGCTTTAAAGCCTGACCAGTACATTATCCAGACTTTATGCTTGCACACTTCCCTGCAAAAAAAGGGACCTGGCACAGTGACAGTAATGGGGACTGTCACACCTCTTTATCATTCACACTGAATATTTCACAGCTAATTTGGGCCCTTCTTTTCTCACGACTTCCAGTTGTGGAGCCATGCTTTTCTCTTTTCTATCTATATTTTCATGCCCACTCAAAGTGCTCTGCCTTTATGAAGCCACGATGGATGAAAGATGACCGCAGGGTGTAAGGAGAATGTCAGGCTGTCCCAAAGTGGATAACAAATGCCTGAAAAATAGCAATATGCTGGTTTAAGAGAATGACACAGTATTTGAACAAAACGAGAGATGAGAGCAGGAAATGTTGGTTATTACTCATACAGTGGCACTCACTGTTGTCAAGATCTGTTGTGGTCTTTGGTTTTATATTAAGGTGCTTAATATGTTGTTTATGAGCTGCAGCGAGGCATGTTTATGACACACAGATAAGTACTGGACTATACCAATGCGTACATATCTAATTTCGTTTATGATTTCTGCACAGGAAACTGCATAGAGGAAATTTTGGCACCCTCTTCCAAAAAAGCTTTTAGCCATCCCCAAAGGAAGTTTCACCCAGCGCTTTCCAGTACCGGTAATACAATAAAATAAAAAAAATTTAAACTGCATTCCTTAATTAGGATTTCATCTGCTCCAGCTTAATTGTATAATGTGTCCGAAATAAAAACAAAATGCCCAAATTTCCCTCTAATAAGCTAACAGACATGTTGCCTTTACTGTGCTATTCAGTCAACCTCTGAAGGCCCATTCTGAGCCAGAATATCCCTGACCAGGTTCTCTAGGGTCCCACATTACACCTATAACTTGCATATCCTTTATGTATTTAATCAATATTGTAGTCCACGTCCCCACCTTAACCCTCCATGCACACATACATGATTGTAAAGGGTGTGGAAAAGCTTCACACAAACAGGAAAGGAGGGAAAAACCCAGTTAATTTAGGTTGTGCATGAAGATCTTGTAAGGGTGAAGATTTTTTATTTTTCTTCTCATTCATTTTTAAGCTCATTGCTAGTTTTCCTGAGATCAACTACAGCTAAGTGTTTTTGCAAAATAAGCCAGTCAGGCCATTCCTGGCTATGTCAGGCTGCATCAACACCAGTGTAAACACTTGATTCATTGGTGTCCCTGTGAGGCTTCTCTCCTAATGAAAACCAAGTGCCTCCAGCAGAGTCCTGGTGGATATGTTGTCTCTTTGTTTTCCCGATCAGTTTTTGCGAGAGTTTCTGTTACGTCACCTCTTTTTGTGCTAGAAAACTGCCTGGCTTCTTGTCTTCACTCTAGACTTATTAATTTGATCTGATGTAACAGGTCTAATGCTGGTGTTTGGTTTTTCACAGCGAGTTAAAGAGTCAAAAGGCTTTTAGATAAAGCAACGTAGAACATTTGGCAGTATTTATGGAAGTGCAGATAACAAAAAACATTAATGATCGACCGCATCAATGCATCTTTTTGCAGGGGTGTAGATATATTGTTACTCGTTTATGCTTTCTGATTTGGACTTCTTTCCAACAATCAAATTACCCCTTTGAGCAAGCACTTGGCAACAATGGGAAGGTAAAAGTCCCTTTTAACAGGAAGAACCCTCTAACAAAACCAGGCTCAAGAAGGGACAGCCATCTCCCGTGACTGGTAGGGGGTGAGGGGAGGAAGACAGGACAAATGTTACAGCTTAAGGGAGAGGAGGAGGATGAGAACATGCAGTTGACATTTACAGTAATACATTTTATTTTTGGAGTTTACAGTAGGAATGCAAACAGTGTAACGGTAACCAAAGCAGCTGACAGTAACATACTGCAACGTTTATGTTCTGTACAGAGCAGTGCTATACAGTTTGTTACCATTAGGGATTATAGTAGGCACACTGCAAAATACCTGTTTAATACCGACAAGTCTAGCTGCCAAATCCATCCATCCATTCATCTTCACCCTGGACAGGTTGCCAGTCTGTCGCAGGGCTAAAGCTTGAGTTAAACTTCTGTGGGAAAGCTGCGTCCTAACTGACAATGTGACTGGAAACTCAATATTGTAACCATCCACGCCATTCAAGTCATTGTGCTACGCATCAACCCAACGTGTAATTGGGCATTGGGACATGCATGTCAGGTTACGTAGAAGTTAAAAGACTCAAGGTTAAAACTGGGATCCGGTTATGACGTAAGTTATGGCATCAATGGGATGCAGAAGTATAATTCACGTGTAACACAAAGAGACCATTCACACACACATTCACACCTAAAGGCAATTTAGGGTCACCAGTTAACTGTATGCCTTTTACTGGTATTTAATTTTAATGCTTTTAAACAGAGTTACAAAGATCAAGGTACTGTTATTGATAAGTAGACAGTAAAGTCATAGAGTTAATGTCCTTGGAAGTTGGAAGTTGATGATGAAATATACAAGCATCTTTGAGGTTTTTTTAGACTGTCTTGATTAATTTTCATTTTTTGAAATTCTTGTAAGTTTGGCTTTTCATAAATAACTTGTTCATATGCATGAGTCAGAAGCCAGTAGCTGTGGCTGAGCTGTGATAAACACCTTGTATAAAAGGAAGACTGAGTGGAAGTTTTTTTGGATTTACGACGCGTGAAATTTTACGTTTAAACAAGACACTTCTGCAGAGTTCCTCAAATCACCTAAACTGAGAAATTAAATGAGGGCAACAGAACAGTTTTAGTTGAGCTATAAATATTCAGCTCAAAATGATAATGCCATAGGCCCTTGAAATTGAGTTTCATTTTCTCATGTGTGTCAAGAGTCCATTTCAGCATTAAAGGGTACTTATTTTCCTGTTAGGCTACATCATGCTACAAGGCAGAATTTTAATAGTGAATACTTTTCTTTGAAATGAGCTGAAACTTGCAGTAGTTCACAACAGGCTGGAAATGTGTTCCAGTGACCGCTGTGTATTTGCCTGACACGGCGTTGGAAGTGCAAATTCACGAATGATCCAGCACAATTAACATTTTCAAATCTGCTATTTTAAGTCCCTGTTATCTCCGCTATATATGTAAGACTTTGCATGTGCCTGAATTTTAGGTTTTATCTTCTTCACTGTGAATCGTTGCCGGTCCAAATAACTCATAAATAAAAGGGAAACATTCACACATAAATGAGCTAGTATTGATTATCTGACAGGTGTTGTTTGTCGGCGTCCCCTCCCGAACAGACGTGTATGCTTTCCAAAATATGCAAGCCGCACCCGTGATCAGACAGCTGTTCGGTGGAAGTACGTGGAAGAACGTCTATTTGATGTTCCCCAAGAAATGCAACAGTGCTATGGCTGCAGTAGAGTGTTGCATGGGGAGAATTGATGAAGTCACTATATGATCGTATACGATGAAAAACACATTCGTATATAGTATGTGGCAGCATGCCACAGACAGGTTGGAAGACCACATATGTTGCCAGCCGAACACACAACCACATAAAAGCATCATCATGTATACACAAACACACGCATGCAATCTGCGGCGCACATACTATCACATCAAGTGGAAGAAGAGAAAATGGAGTGGGAAGAGGTGAAAGGGATTGAGTGGGCGGCGGTGGGAGAAAAAGATGGAGAAAGAGGCAGAGGGAGAGTAGGAGTGAGCGGCACATGGCTTTCAGTCTAAAAAAAGATGAGCAACGCGAAACCAAAACCAGAATCTGGATTAGCTTGATAAGGAAGAGGAGGGAGGAGGGGTTGTGAAGGGGAGGGCCGGAGGAGAAAATGTAGATGCGTGTGCATCTGCACCGAAAATGGTGCTCATAAATGTCCTCTAAAATATGAATACTGAATGAGTGTGTGGGTAGGAGAGAGCATGAAGATGGGGAGATGAGAAAGAGAGAGGGTGAGATTCTTTAGGATGGACAGAGTGGTGCTGTCGTGTGACAGAACGGGGAGAGACGGGATCATTAGAGACAGCAGAGCCGGGGATGTGACAAACGCTGGAGAGAATCTTGATCTGAGCAGAGTGTAACACTGACCCAGGCAGAAAAAGAGAGAGACTGGAGCAGATGGATGTATGACAGCGAGCAGAGGAGACGGAGAGATTTGGTTATGTGCCGCAGTCACATAGTCATGCCAACCCAGCATAACCTCAGCATTTTCTGTAGACATTCTTAGTAGCCTGTCTCTTCAGAACTGTGCCCAACACCTCACTACATGCCAAACTCTCTTCAGCCTGCCATGTCTGTCTCAAGTCAAGTAAATATATATATTTTTTCTCCTTTCTATCTCATTCCCATTGATTTTGAAGACGTAACGAGCTACCTGCTGCATGCCTCTATGCCCAACTGTGTGCCCGCAGAGCCTGTCTTTAATTATAGATCACCCTTTAATGGTGCACTTGTTAAATAACCCTTTCACACATAACCCCAGAAATATCACACAACATTAACGTGAGTCAGTCCGGTCTAGAAAGCAATTCCACTAGATAATGTCTTATGGAAGAAATTCCATCATTTATACTTGGCACACAAAT